TCAATATTTTTTAATTTTTTTTCTGGACAATTTAAAACATTGCATGCCAAGACCGATTATCATTAGAGATGGTATTATTCTTTTTTTTTTTTCTTTTTTTTTATTGTCAATGTATTTTCATTATATTTTTAGGCTTACTATAATCATTTAAAATTTAGCGAATATTCAACGTGGGTGATTTTTATCTAACAAACGTTCGTATTTATGCCATCTTCGTTTTTATTAATTGTATTTAACATTAACAAACAGATATGATTTAACATTAAATTTATCACACGCGGACAAATGATTGACGCGTCCTGTAATTTGTAAAAATCCTGTAATTTGTAACAAAAAAATGTGTAATTTGTAATTTTCTGTAATTTGTGCTATTCTATGAGATATATGTTATTTTTTAAAGCGGTCACACGGTAGGAATAAATAGGTATACATAAAATATCAGTCGATAAGTTTAGTGTGTTAAACATTAAGGTCTATAATAAAGGGTCTCGAAAAAAAAAAATCTTTCAAGCCCTTGTATATATACTGTATACATACGACGGCTTCTCTCCTTCTTTCGCACTTTCAAATTCCGGAAGTTCATGTTCGTGTTTATGTTTTCAGCATTGTTCCTCCTGTTGTGTGTGTATTCGAATGTGTATGTATGGTGACTACGTTCGTCGGCACGAAAGAGATTAATTTAGAATTATGAATCAAGTGCGGGGGCGATGCGATCGAAGAGAAGTTAATTATATAAAGTAATGTTTACTACGAGCTCGAAAGTTCCTGTCTTTTGTTTCGCGATACAACGCATGCTAAATGCAAGATTGACTTTTTTCTCCGTGTCTCTCTCTCTCTCTATCTCTATCTATCTATCTATCTATCTCTATCTCTCTTTCGTTTGCAAACTTGTTGCGCCTTTTATCACTTCATCAACAGGTCCTACGAAACTGCATATTTACGATCGTTATATCGCTGCACGTAAAAACTTATTAAAGTAATAAATAAGAATTAGGTACGGATTTGTTCTCGTAAATATCGATTGTAAATACCTTATCGTAGAAAGTTCTTTGAATTTTAAATTGATAATAAATGTTCCGAACGATTCCAATTAATTTCATAAAATAACCCGATCGATTAATATGTATGCATGTATGTATATATGTTATCGTGAAAGACCGAAATTGGAAAATGTCAAGATTCAAGTGGTGAAATGTCAACACATATCAAATGCATCGGTGAAAGATCGAATATTTGGGTTTATTCTTATACATTTAATATTTCGGATATATATCACACACACTTAACATTTTTCATTTTCGGTTTTACACGATAACATATACACACAAACATATAACATATATATACGTAATGAGTTGAAAATTTGTAAAACTAATATGGAAACAATTGTTTTCGGTCATACTCACTTTTATTTTTCTACATAGTCTCAAAACGGAGAAAAATAATAGGTTCTGAACTTTTCAATTCACTCTCGTATATAAAACAATATATGTATTATATTAATATATTATAACATACATGTAATTAATATATATATATACATAGTTGTATGTGGTCCAATCTTGCTTACAAAAGCTCGGTACGCGTGCACCGACGTGACATTGGTTAATTGTAAACTACGAATCCGCTACGAGCAGTTACATCGTGTGTAAGCATTGAAAATGATTTCCTGCAACTGACTCGTTGATACTTCCTTTCGGCGGCGGTACATGTTGCAATTACACTCGTCTCCTCCTATTGCATTTTTTTTTTCTCTTTTTATACATATACATATATATCAGGAAATTGCATTTGGCGGAAATGCACGGATATTTGCACGAATGTGATAAGATATGGGAGTATTCTTTCATTATAGAAAATAAAAATCTACTTGATTCGTAATTTTCGAAATTTTAAGCTTAACTTTAAGGTAAAAGAAAAAGAAGAAGACGAAGACGAAGATGAAGACGTCATTGTTGAAATGTCACCTGCTAACCGTGACCTTCGTTCTGGATATTAGAGTTATATGACGTGAGTTTCCGGCTCGTAGATATTACGTTCCTGGGGTATGACTACTCTTCCATTAGAAATACGAGTAGAGTCTGGAAAGCAGGACAAACTCTATTTGAAGGTCATGGAAACTTAGCCACGGCCAGACTCTTTTGATTTGATTAAAGGAAGCCAACGTGTATCGTACGTGGCGGCTATAGATAGATCTATAGATAAATAGTTAGACAGATAGAATCCTCTTCTATATATCCAAGTAGTATGTTATAATAGTATGCAGCATGCAGTATATTAGTTGTCGTCGACTTGTATCAAGATATCGCGGGGTTTACGACCGTCTACAGCCTTCGTTCCTTCATACGTATCTACATAACTATGATTCTAGTTGCTTGTACTATTAAGATCAACGCACGGCGCTCTCTCTTCTATTTTAAACGAATTCTAAGAATGCTAAATGCCATACCACGTTGAATACATTTAGAGAAGACCTATGTATACTTCTTTTCAATGTTTATCGAAACTTTCGATAGATGTCGCATTCTTATGACACATAAATAAAACTTAGGCTACCCACAATACAATTATCTTTAATATATTTTATTATTAGAAAATTAGAAATATAGTTTTTCTTCTTCTTTCCCCTCCCCACCTTTTTTTCTATTTTTCGTCGTATGTTTCTATTTATCGTGTCAGTTTCATTGATCTCTCTCTCTCTCTCATGCAATTTTCTTGAATTTATCAATGTATACTCATATCCGTGATTGACAGATTGTACCAAAGATTGTTAATTTTATTTTAATTTTTTAATTTTTTTTTTTTTTACAACGCATTAACTATCCAGGTCATGTAGAATTTATATGAGCAAATAGAATATTGTTTGCGTTTCGTCTCGATTCTTTTTTTATCGATCTGATACGCACGATTTTCTTGCGCTCTTGTATTTCTAATTAAACGATAAGAAGATATCTGACTAATGACGTAGATATATGTATATATATATATATATATATATATATATATATACAATGGTTCATTTTGATGAGCCCATAAGATATAATATGTGTTGTCTGTAATTTCTTACAAAAAGAATAATACGTCTATGAGAGTATTTGGTAAAAATACATTTTTTATTTAAAAAGAAACAAAAATAGAAATGAAGAAATAATATTTTGTATTTGTAATATATATTAACGTTTAGATAGGAATATATGAATCATAAAAAAAGACTTCTGTGAAACGTAAAGAATATATAAATATTGATGTGACCACTGATAAGGAATAAATCAGCGTTGCCAGCAAAATTCCAGTTAGTTTTGCTAAACCTGTAATAATTACGGTCTTCGCGTTTTGTTGATCAAGGAATAAAAGCACGTATATGGTATACGTATTAATATTTGTTAGTCGTGATTAAATATCAAATTTTTGTAATTAAGATCAATATTGGATGATTCATTTATCTTTTTATTTTTTTATTTTTTATTTTTTTTGTTAACAGAGAAGAAATTGTCGAACAAACGAAACGTCTTGTATTTATTGATTTCTTTTTCTTTTTCTCTTATAGTCGTCCAACTTCGTAAAAAAATATACCGAAAGATCTTAAGATTTTTGTGTACGTACGAGACGACTATGCAAGCATAAGACGCAGTTTCAATAACGTGGGTTTGTTCTACCGTTTTCTCCATCTCTAAGAAATTCTCTCGTAGGCAGTGTAGGAGCCAGGAACTCTTCGTGTTCGAGGAAGCGTAGTTCTTCTTCATCTTGTGTATGTAGTCTCTCTCAGACAAAAAAAAAAAGAAAAAAAAAAAAAGAGAAGAAGAATATCCTTCCGGCGAGACGGTCTTTATAAATAGGAGTTCTAGAAATAGTCATTCGCTTTATTTTCATTTTCGAACTATTATAGCCAACGAACGTGCGCTTAGAGTTCACGTTACTTCCTAATCTTGTGAAAACTAAGTGATAAAATAAATAATGAGTCTAACGTGTTATTCCAAAAATGGATTCTACTTTTATCTTATTGTTAAAATAACAAAGATAAAAAATGTGGATTTTAAATTCCTCAACATTTAGAAGATTTTTATTGAAAATATGAAAAGAAAACGTAATAGTGTATAAATTGAAGATATCAATTTATGATGATAAACAGTTTATCTAATTGTAAGATAAATTGAACTAAATAATATAAAAGACAGAACAAAATCTTTAGTGGTAAAATAAATTCTTACAAGATAATATTAACAAGAACTCAAGGATGTGTCTATAGCATTGAAAAATTTTCATAAAAGTATTTGGTGGGCAAAAATGCAGACTGAATGTCTTGTTAAGATGGTGTTTCTAATTTAATAATTTTTCGAGGATGAAGTCTACAGTATATAATTAGTATATTTTTAAAATCTTTGTTTCACCTCTTCTCTCTCCTTAGAAAAAGAAATTCTAATTGTTCTTTGAAGTGACCATATGAGTAATGTGGTCTTCGAAGTTCAATTAGTTGCATAAAATACAATTTGTTCAGAACAATTTCATAAAGGAGGTATAGTTATGCTGAGTTATGTTGCATAAAAATGAGGACTTTTAGAAATAACGCAGAATTATACATTCCAAATTGAAGTAATTTGCAATTCTTAATTCAGAGCTTATAATCAATACAAAATTATTCTTCTTTTAGTACTTTACATTTGCACTGACGACTAGAAGTGTTTTATTGGAACTTGTTACACACACGTATAGTTGAACTTACGTAATTGTAATTAGCACATTGTATCATTTATTGTTCACTGACAATGAGATCGATAATTTACTTATATCTTTCCTGATAATTAACTATACTTTAGCAAAAAGAGTTTAAATTTCCTTTTATCAAATTGTGTTTTTAATTAGACACCGCGCAACCGCGAATTTGTCGAATAAGAAATATCTACAGTATGCGAAATCAAATCCTGATTATTATTATTTTATTATTTTTTAGAAATGAATTTATTCATTTCACTAACGATCATATTTATCTTTTCTGTTCTCAGAATTCTTTTGGCAGACCCGACGACGTCGTAGCTGCTGAAACTTTAGCGAACCACCTTCGTTGTAACAATTCTTTCGTTCATGCCGTATTCCAGGCACAATTTCGATCTAGTCTTACGTGTCCGAGATGTCATCGGCAATCAAACACGTTTGATCCATTTCTTTGCGTGTCGGTACCAGTCCCACAAAATCATCGGCAAATGAATCTCTTTGTAAACGTTCTCTACACGTCTCAACAACCAAGACAAGTTAAGATTGGCGTCAGCGTGAATCAAGCTGCGAACGTGAGAGAACTCAGAGAAATTTTAGCAAGCGATACTGGCATTGAAGAGAATCATATGTTGCTTACTGAAGTTCATGACGAAGGATTTCATAGGTACGGATTTTTTTTTAACTTAACAAATTAATATATAATCAGTGTGTATGCGTGTATCTATGTGTGCATTTGTTTAACTTTAATATTTTTCTTTTCTGTTTCATTAGGACATTCTCTGATTGCCAACCATTGTCTGTGATCACAGAAAACGATCCTCTTTATTGTATAGAACTACCACAGTTGAAGGAACCTGCTGAGCAAGCATATATTTTATTGGTATGGATCAACGTTCTTGTAAAGGGTGACCTGAGGCAACGCTTTGGTAGCCCTTACACAATGCAGGTTTCTCGGGAGACTTCTTACGAAGATCTCCAGAAACTTTTGCTCAAGGAAATGCATAGTACCTTGACCGATGATGTCTTAACATCCAGTCAAAATCCAGGATTATTTAATATTCGTGTTGCTGATCCAGCAGCAACACCTATTCAAGACGAACATCCATGCATCGATCCGTGCGTTGAACATCCACTTTATACGGAACAAATCGAACAAGCATTAGCACTCTGTGCCGATGATTCCGGTCCTCAACATGTTAAATTGATTCTCGAATGGGACGAGGCTACGAAGAATAATATCATTCAAGATGACAGTGATCAGATCGAAGAGCACGCCAGTGTGAAACAATTGAAGACTAATTCAGAGTTAGGCGGTGCGGTCACGCTCGAAGAATGTTTTGATCTTTATACAAGAGCAGAGACGTTAGGAGCTGAAGATGCTTGGCATTGCCCATATTGTAATAAGAAGCAAGAAGTCGTGAAGAAGCTAGGACTTTGGTCTTTGCCTGATATCTTAGTAATACATTTGAAAAGATTTCGTCAACAATCGAAACAAAGATCGACATCGAAATTAACAATGCTCGTAGATTTCCCACTTTATGGTTTTGATATGACTCCTCATCTTGCTCATAGTGGAGTACAAACACATAATAACGTTCCTACCCTTGGAGGCTTAGGTTGGTCTCCATGGAAAAAGCCAAGGCCACGACATCAAAGTATTCCCAAATACGATGAGAATGTTTATGATCTCTATGCTATTTGTAATCACCATGGGCAAGATCTTCAGGGTGGTCATTATACCGCATTTTGTAGAAATCCATACGACACTCAATGGTATTGCTTCGATGATACAAGAGTCGAAGCTGTAAATGATACGAATCTTATAACGAATGCAGCTTACATGTTATTTTATCAACGAAGAGGATTGACTAGTAACTCTACTGGAAATTCCTCTGCGGCTTCGACAAGTTCGGCGGGCTCGGGTCTAGATCATTGGGTCTCTAAGATGCCACCGTTTTATTTTAATAATAAAACTAGTTGTAACGTCACAAATAATAAACAAAGTAAGTCGCAGGAAATATTGTGCCAGGAAAAAATTGTTGAAGAGAAGAATATGAATAATTTTAATAGAGGCTCTCGTAATTATGCAACTCTACAGCCAAAGAAGCGAAACGTGGCAACCGAAACGGATGCTGGAAATATTGATCATTGTTCGGATGATGAAGCCCCTTGTAGAAGAGAATGGGTAAATATTTATTCATATAAGTTAATGCATATTTTAATGTAAATGTTTTGTAACAACTACATGTGTCTTATATTATTCTCTTAATTTACAGGCTTCACCAAAACCCGTTAGGAAAACATCTTCTATCACGTTGACGCCTCATGTACCAGTAGCAATAATTCAAAATTCTAATAGTAATCCAGATACAACGGTGATCCATGAATCGACATTGTAACATACAATGTAAGCCAGATTTTGTCTGGCTTCGAGCGTCGTTTAATGTTCAGTGCCTGGAATGTTGTATACTCGTGAGTTTCATTAGAAAATGATTGATATAACAGAAGACTATTTGATAGAACTTAATAAATACATATTTAAATTCCTTGTTAAGAGAGTGTTCGAGATGAATGATAGGTGTCCTAGCAGATGAACACTACTAATCTTTCATTCTGAATTTATATACAGTGCTTTTTCGTACAGAAGTCGCGAAAGCTGTGAGGGATCTCAAGAGTTCTGCTCTTCTTTTTTGATGTTATTTCTACAATCTTCTATATAAAAGAGTTTGAGAAAAAGAGTGTGGGTTTTTCAAATGGATAAAATGTCAAGCATTAGTGATTTTTGTATTTATAATGATAATAATAATAATAATATTAATAATAATAATAACGTTTGTATACAGTTCGCGTGAAATGTATTATATACAGTGTAATTATTATTAGGATAATTTTTAAAAACTGTTGTTATATCGCGTTTCAAGAACTGCAACAACAACAAGAAAATAAGAAAAAGAAATAAATCCCTCTTATAAGTCATTTACCATTTATACTTAGATTTTCAATACGATAGATAATAGAAACACATGTATGTCCAAAAAGGATGAAGAAAATTTTCCTAAAGCAATTTTATGTAATTTCGAATCGCAATGCATATATGTGATAGTCATAAATGCGATCTCGTGTATGATAGTCTCATATCACGTTATCATAGGATGAAAATTTGACAATAAGAGGATTCTGTGTGCCACAGAATTCATTTATTACAATCGCTTCATTTCTTTATAAATCTTTCCTGGACATAATGTGTAAATTGCTGAACATTGCTTTTGAGTCTGTGCTTAGCTGTAATATTTATATTATATTTGTAATATCCACTAGTGGCCTTAACTCTGTAATTATCTATCGATGCATCATTATTTGCAATCATATAAACATAATCAATTTCTCTGAGAATTTTATATTAGATACCTCTAGATTATTATTTTATAAAAGCCATTAGGCAATTGTAAACTTTAAATATCATTTTGCCGATAGGCCAATTTGTAACTAACTTCAACATCATTTTGCCGATATATATATATATATATATATATATATATTCGTCGTTTATTGAGAAATATTTTATACTTCCGGTCATAATTCGAGTTCTTCCAACGACTGGCCAAACAATCAAGTATCAATTATATCGAAAGAAAATAATTCTCGGCAAAATAACTACTTTTCTCCGGACGACGTTAAAATAATCATTTCTTTTATATGTAGTTATTTTTAATTCCTTCGTTGTTTAAAAATACTCTGTCCTCCTATTTTTAACGATCATTCCAAATAGTCGTTTAGTACGGAGCAAAGGAGAGTAAAAATTATGAAAGTGAGAAAAAGATATATATATTTAAATATATGTATGTATGTAGGTGTGTGTATATGCGTATATGTATATTAAAGATTCGTATATTCACACACGCACATAACTATAGTGAGTGAAAAATATTTAAGTTATTTTAAAATAACATTTATAACTAGTCACACATATTGTGGACAAAGGTAGCAATTGCGCGCGTCACTAATGTAGAAAAAAATAAAAGAATAATATTATATAATGAAGAATAATGTATTCAGAAATGGAACAATGAGATTGACTAAAGCTATCTATAATTATGATTTTAGAAGTTGTGTATTCATGTTAACCGACTGAGGGATATTTATAATTATTCATATTATTGCTATAATTTTGTTAAAATAAATAGAGAATATATATGTACAGTAGGGTATGCCATTCCATTTTAAGCACGCTATATTTTTCTGCGTTCTACAATTTATCTTAAACTCTCTTACACTTTTTTCTCTAGACACAACCGTAGCACGATTATCACACGTTATAATGAAAAGAAAATTGTGCTTTCTTTCGATAATTTGTTACGTAACTACGATTCTTTATACTTTCGAATATGTTTTCACGAGGAAAAAAGGAACATACAAAAAATTGCATATCCTGCATGCGGATTGAAGGAAAGAAAAAGAAAACAGCAAAGAAATTAACCAAATTTTTCGCTAGTCTAATATTATTCTGGTATAAAATGTGACAAAATATAAAAGTGAATTCGTTACGAAATGAATTGAAAATAAAAAGCAGATGAAGAAAATGTTCTGTCTTTTATATTTCTATATATATATATATACGTCTATGAATAAAAACACAAACTCATATCCTAATAATTATTCAAACTTTAACGTACGATATTTTTTTCAATTTTCTTGTATTATATGTTATTTGAATAAAACAATAGCGTATGTATTATAATTAGAGCTTTAAGACAAAAAAGAAATAATTCTCCAAAGAACATAAAGAAAAAGTAAATAGAGCAGGGATCTCGAGATAATTCAATCCGTTCCTGATGAAAGTTAGAGCTCCTCTATCGGCTTGTGTAGAGTGAGACGGGATAAGAGTAGGATGCGCTGGTGAGAGCGCAACGCAACCGCCCCGCGATTGGCCGAGGTGCCGCCCCACTCCCTCACGGCTCTCAGTCGGGCTCGGGCCTCCGTCGGGCGTAGTACGTGCGTGTCGTGTTCTCGTGCGTAGCATAAGCAAGACTTCTCAGTGAGAGAATAAAGGTAAGATAATTACAAAGTTTCAACGTATAAATGTACAAACGTTAGTTAATTCTTAATGCCATGTTTCCGTCAAATCTTTAAACTCGTTTATTCTTTTACATCATAATCGTCGTTCTTTCGTACAAAAAATTCAAGCACTTTCTTTACTAGTTTTTTTCGCGATACGAAAGAAAATTGATAGAATGGGGAAATACTATTAACGATGTTAAGAAGAAGAAGAAGAAGAAGAATGAGTAAACGATAACAAGAAGAGGCCAGCGCCTCTCTTTTTGAGATAAGAGAAGAAAAGAGAAATAGGAACATTGGTGGCGCTCATGCCCGCCTATGGTGTGTACTCTCGGGATCGATACACGGGCACGCACTTCGCGCGGCGCCGGTGTAAGAATACGTCTCGTATACATGTCCCTTCCTATTGCCCCCTTTTTCCCTTCACCCTTGTGTAGGACGCATGCTGGCTGCTCTTGCTTGCCCTGCCAGCTTGCTTGTCTGCTCTACGTGTATACGGTTCGTCATTCGTTCCGTCGTTCGTTTGTCCCCATGCATCGTACGTACATGCGTGTGTATGCATATATATATATGTATGGATGTATGTATGTATGTATAACGATGCGAACGAACGACGAACGAATGAACGAACGATAGAGAAAGAGAGTAAGGGTGGATTTTCTGTCAGAGAAAAAGAGTAAGAGTGAGAGAGTCAAGAGAAAGGGGCTGGGCCATAAGAGAGAAAGAGAGAAACAGAAAGGTACAAAAGCGACCCGCAGATGTGCCGCGATGCGGGTGTCTCGAGATCGTAAAATTCACCCTCTTCGTTTACTGGAGAAAAGAAAAAGAGGGAGAGAGAGAGAGTGAGTAAAAAGATGGGTTCACGAAGACGGAAGAGATCGGTGGCGCGAACTTAAAGGGTGATATAAGAGACGATAACGAGGAGGAAGAGTCGGAGAAACAAAGTTTCTTGTCTCTTTCTGTTCTTTCTCTCCCTTTCTCTCTTTCTCTTTCTCTTACTTCATACGCTGACACATACATAAAGCATAAACCAACAAGACTGTATATACTCTTGTCTAGTTTTTCGACTTCACTCAGAAACTTCAGACTTCTTTTTCCTTTCTTTATGTTTTTGTCCATCCTGTTTTCATCTTCCCTCAAGCCTGTCATAGTCGGTTACGATAGTTTGTATTTCTATTCGAATTGTTAGAATGAAATGTTTATTTCGTTCTTCCTTATTTTACTGGTTTCTTTTTGTTTTTGTATTTCATACTTTCACGGATTTGTTTTAAGTATGTGATGATGAACTATCAAAAAACGTCATCTTGGTATTTTCCTTTCTTATATTCTTTTTCTCTTTCAATCTTATCATTAAACAGTATGTCAATCAATAATAATACTCTCTAAGTTTATCTAAATAAATCTCAAGAACACTCTTGTCAATCATTTTTAATGTCATTACTCAACTATGTATACGCCCATATTGATAATCGTTTATTCTCCAATTGATATAGAAAATCTATTTTCTTTCTTTCTCACTTTTTCAATTTAATCATCCAATAGTATATCAATCAATAGTGATGTCTACTTATGAAGTATATTCAAATGAATGTGTCAAGATTCCTTATCATTTTCTTTTATTCTTCCTTTCAATTTCATCTGACTTAACAGTATATCCATTAGTAATAATACTTTCAAAGTTTGTTTAAATAGATTTGAATAATTCTCTTCTCTCTAGTTCCCTTTTAGTAATATTTAACATTCAATAATAAATCTCTAGCAAGGAAGCAAATATTTTCAAACAAATTATATTCAATTTTATCTATATTTTTTTTTTTGCTTCCTTTGTGAGTAAAATATTTAAAATAACCAACAAGTGACTAATACTGATACGAGGAAAAAAAAGTGGATAAAGAGAGAAAGAGATAAATATCTTTATAACCCTTCACATGTGCGACGACCTCGAACATGATGATACAAGATTACCTTAAATGGTACGTGTCTCTTTTATCCGTTCGATTCTTTCGAAATAATATCTAGTTAGTATTATTCACGTATTCTTGAGAAAATTGAATCGATACTCGATATAAAGCGAATACTAATGATTCGTGTTCTATAATAATCAGGTGTTGTTGTCTTTATTATTGCATAAATACGTATTATACGTTTTATTTGCCTCCGTGTATGTATGTATGTATATAAACTATCATATATTCACTTGAGCCTCGAACGAGCACCATTTTCATAGCATATTTATGGAACGATCGTTAACCTCACGAACGATCTACACTCTTGAGGTTATCGATCGTCCTTACAGTATACTTCCGTTTCCGTTTCGATCCTATTTTTTATTATAATATTTTTTTTTCCTTTTCATTACGCAAGATAAACTTGAAAAGATAATAATTGCTTAAGATACTCAGATGTTTTGATATTTTACTTTTACGTTAGAATGATTATTATGTGAACAAAAGGACAGGTTTTTATATGAGTACTTTTTGTTGTTGTTGTAAATTTTCGTTGGTTTCGTTTTGTTTTTTATTCAACAATTTTTCTCCTCATTCAGAGAGTTCGTTTGAACGTGAACGAAAAAAATAAAATGTATGGTATAAGTATGTATGCATGCATTTTACGTCGTTCTCATTTAAAAGAACAAAAATATTTATCCAACGTTGAATTCATCTATTGTGATCTATCGAAGTTTCGAATAAAGTATTCATTTATTCTGGAAACGTTGATGTTATTTTGCTGATTTATGAATAATTTATGCACTCTTGTTTGGATTAATTTAATTATATAAAATATTCGAAAAAAAGTTATTATTTCCCGTGTATATTATTATTATTCGTATATTCATTTGAAATAATAAATAATATAAATCATATTCATTATTTGAAACACATCGAATCGGTTATTTATTTTAAATCTTCTTTCCCTTTTTGTTTGTTTTGCGATCGATCAAGAAAAATAATATTCTTTGTAGCGTGCACACACACACACAAAACGCGCGTTTGGATTTCATGCGACAAACTTGAGGAAAACGACGAACGATCGATACGTTTGTGACTTCGACGTTGCTACGAAGAAAAGAATCATGTTTATGATATGGGGAATGAATCCAAGCTCTATTAGAGATATTATACTACGAATAGAGATTTACTTTCTTTCTTTTGGGAATTGAGAGATTGATGATGCAAAAAATAAATACTGTTTATACTGATTAATTGAATTCACGATCGTATCAGGGGATCCAACAAAAAAATAATAATAATAATTATTATTATATCTCTCGATGTGTTTATTTCTTCGTTTCATCTTAATTTTTCTCTCATTTTATTTAATTTACATATTTTATATATGTCTAATCGAATGAATTTATTCATTAAGTATACTTTATACGTTTACTTACTGACTAATTAGATATACTTAATCATATAATATAAATCGTGTATAAGTAATAATAATAATTATTTTTTTTTCCATCTATAAATCATTCTTCTTCATTTTCATTTGATATATCGTTGTTAATATAATCATCTAATCAAGTTAATTAATTAGTTATTCATTACGACGTCTTTTATCTATATCATAATCTGATGTAATTAATTTAATATATCGATATCAATCAATATATCTTTCTTAAGTAACTCAAATAACACACTACTCATCTTCGATGTCACGTTGTCACAAATGCTTATCCGTAATGTGCTCATCGGTTGAAAGCTAATAGCAGCAGCACTCTTCATTTTATATCCAAGCTATTTATTTTATTATTGTTACTTTCTTCTCATCGTTGGTCGTCGTCAATAAAAGAATAACGCGACGAGATAATTCGAAAGGGAGAAAAAAAAAGAAAGAATGTTACGTTCCTGGAAACCGAAAGCAAATCGATATTGTTATCAATGGTCGTTACACCAGTATCGACACCTGAACCCAATAGTGCACTTAGTTTTCATAGAAAATTAAATGGGAAACTTGTGGGCTCTCCAGTTGCTGCGAAATACGGGATGAAAAGGTACATTTCGATAGTATCGTTACGATGAAATTGCTCATGAAAAGAAAAGAAAAAAAAATATATATAAAACGATGAGATAGAAAAGAACAAATTCGATATTTTTTTAATAAAAATTTCAAATATTTACACGCGTAGTCGAAATTTTGCCTAAAGTATAAATATTGAATGTGAATGTGAATGAATATTTGTGCGATACATATGGTTATAAAACAAAATTATAAATTTCGATAAGAAATGTTTTGGAGAATACTTCATATGTTAAACTTAATTTTTATCTTTTTCATTTGTACATTTTGTATTATCTTTTAGTCTATTGGTTTCTTGATTGTATGATAAAATATTTTATTTTTATTATATTTCTTTTTCATTTTCAAAGAATTGACATAAAAATGTTCTCATTTATTTCGTTTGTATCTTAATAAAAATTTCATTTACGATATGTACAAAGAAGAGGTCGAAGTATATTTAAGCAAATTTTTTTATTAAGTAAATTAATTAAAACAGAAATCGAAAAAAAAAACAATATTGAAAAATGAATGATGAAATTGATGATAATGCTTTTTCAATTTCTCAGCACAAATCAGTTATTAAGAACAAATTACATATACTTTTTTACACAGAGAAAAACTGTGTTAATATATTAATAAAATAATATATATATATTCATATTAAATAAAAACAATTATGATTTTTAATGGAGGATAGAGAAAAAAAGAAACAAATTGCAATTTAGAAGCATTATTCGTGCAATAAAGTTTCGCGACTTTTCTATATCAGTAAATTACAAAAGGTTGATTGGTCTAAGTTTCTTTTTATTTATCGGTAGGTTGCACAATTCGATTGATGTAAAGCTAGAAACATCAATATTGTAAAGGAAAAAAGGAAAACAAAACAGCGAAATGCAGTCGAGATAGTACAAAACAACAGTTCGTTTAATCGATTTACGCGCTGTGAAATCAAAACTCACGTTTTCCTGTCGTCTACGGATGAACTATCCTAA